AAAAACAAATGCCAAGAGTTAGATTCGAACATCGAGCGCGACAATATTTAAAATCAGGTGGGTGTCATTACTGGAGACAACGATGTAACTACCGAGTAGCATCATGTCAATGATCCATTTAATTGTGTGATGATAAGTTAGCATCTAGTCATTCATTATTCTAATTTAATGAAGATAAGGTATATGCAGGGGCTGCGCGAAGGGTCTAAGATTGGGGAGTGTAGCGAGTTTTGAAAGGGTGTAAAAATTTTTTGGTGGGGATGTAAAAGGGTATTTATAGCAAAATTTCTTAAAAAAACATAAAATTCGTTCCAAATCTGCTCCCATCGCTGAAAAAAAAAACAAAAATTTCCAATTATTGGGGGTGTACACCCCCTACACCCCCCGCTCGCGCAGCTCCTGTATATATGTATTGTATAATTGTAAAAGACTGAAGTGTAAAAGTCGTGTAATTACTTTCATAATTAAACGAAGAATACATCCATTATGGTCCAATATATTTTAAACTTTCATTAACGTGTAATAAAGAATGTATATTGGAAGTTATATGTCGTAAATCAACTATGTTTTGATATTGTTCGACAAAATAATACAAAAAAACTCTGTTATTAAATCCCATGGTTTCATCAGTAGTATATTCTGATGAAACAAGATTGATTGCTGTTCAACGACATAATAATAATATCTTCTATGTTTATTTGATCATAAATTGTACTATTGTTGTTATGCCAAAATGAAATAATGGTCGATATTTCCTTGCCTTGTATCTGGACATTGATTTAATAGATCTAAAACTATACTGTGTGGTGAATTGGATTTTAATGTAAGATAATAGTTTACCAATGTGATCAATTTTTTTTGAATAATGATCACTCTTCTTTTTGATATTTAGGATCAAATACAAGGTGCATTATTTTTCTAAAAGCACATCCAATGATTGTATGTAAAGAGTCCGTTAAAAAAGATTTGCCGTAATTGAAATACTTCAGTATTGTTAAGGGACGATGGCCCCTAAAATGATAAATATTAAAAACAGTTTTTCATTTAACTGTAGTTCTTATTCACCCTAATCCATTAGTTTCCGATTGTTAGTAAATATCTCTGTGACTTATTTAGAAGGGTGTGGGTGTGAGTGTGGGTGTGGGTGTTGGTGTGTGGGTGTCGGTGTGGGTGTGGGTGTTGGTGTGTGGGTGTCGATGTGGGTGTGATTGGGTGTGTGCCTCGCTTCACCCACACCCACACCCACACCCACAGCCACAGCCACAGCCACAGCCACACCCACACCCACACCCACACCCACACCCACACCCACACCCACACCCACACCCACACCAACACCCACACCCACACCCACCCACATCCACACCCCACAACCACACCCACACCCACACCCCATACCCACACCCACACCCACACCCTTGTTCTTTTCTTATTTGATGCTTTAAAAGCAGTAACAATACCTTTATGTGCCTTGTTTCTGTACGTCTCATAACTGTTGTGATTGCCAACATGAAGTAAGATACGTTCAGTATTATTATCATTTATGTCTGCCGCAATTCTTCCTCCATTCCCAAATGCCAAACGTGCCATTTTCGTTCCGATAAGCAACTGAAACTTCCCAGCGGCCAGCATCATCATGGGACTTTTTGAGAGCATCAATTGCTCCTTCAGTACGTTCAGCTTGTTTTCATACCTTTTCATTTGAAAATGTTTGATCATCTATTGTATTCGACAAACTATCAAGTAATATAAATGGTTCGTTTTCATTAATATCATTTTCTATAACTTCTAATAAATCTTCTTCATAAGAAAAATATTTTTTTAAATCGACTAAGGCCAAATTAAATGTTTGTAATGCATAAATGGTGGCCACATCGCAGTCGATTGTCCATTCGGCTGTTGTGGTGATGTGTTGATCATTTTCATTTGTATTTTCTTGGTCAATGCGTAAAAGTGTTATAATTAATGATTTATTAATACGTGTATTAGTAAAACAAATTTCATTCTGTTGTTGTAGTACTTCAACAACATCACGTATATCCAAACCAAAGACATGTAAAACCATGAGACGAGCAAAACTATCATCTTGAGTATTACCATTATCTTTTGTAAGTTGAAATCCTAATGCACATTTGACAATATATGTTCTGTTGTACATTGAATTATTATTGCATTCTAAAAACAAAAGGGCAATGATCGAAAAATCAGTAATTCTAGAGACTCATTCAATGATGTGTCGATTGTTGATGCAAAGGCTAGGCGATATGAAAAAAAATTTTTATAAATTATAATTTATAACTGAGATAGGACAGTCCTATAGCTACGGCAGAAACAGTAGAAAAAAGTTCTTGTAAATTATAATTTATTTTATTAATAGGACTGTGTAAGATTTGTGAAAAATTTTTGTTTGTGAACAAAATGATTGTTGTGGAATTTCTTTTTTTTTCATATTTTTCGTAATATATTATTGTTTTGGCGATGTCTTATCTGACTGAATAGAGTTTGGTTCATTTTAATTTATAACAAAGTCGGAAACTATGACAGTTAGTGTTTAGTAATTCATAATTAGCTAATAGGTATTTTGGGTATCCTTTTTTTTTCGTTGTTTGGGTATTTGGTGAGAAATTATTTTCTTTATTTTTGAATAAAGGCTATTGAAGTTTTTTGAATCATTGTTTTTCTATTACTTTTTTTAATATGACAACTGTTGATATCTAAAATGATATCAATAGATTTATATCCAATTTTGTTTGTTACCCCGAATGACCTCGATGCTTTTTGTGGTGTAAATAGGGACATGATGTAGATGCATTTTGTTCGGTATAATAAGGTCTCTTCTGTTTCTACTTTGTCATCCAAATTGGACGAATACATGTTAATACAAGGACGAAAAGACATACTTCTGTAATTGTGAACCACGACGAAGTACAGAGATATCCAGAAGTACCCATAAGCACGAAGAAGTACAAACATCTATGAAGACATATAGAGCATTCCGAAGAAATATACGAAGTACAGAAGTATAGCTTTCTCCCTTGCTCAGATGTATGTTCTCGATGTGTTTTCGCCATAGCTCTCACTTGCTGTCATGTGTGTATTAGTATTTTCGTCCCACTCTCAGCTAATGCCATCTCCTATATATGTATTTCTGCCGTCACTCATACTCAGAGCGATGACTTGTGTATGTATTTCGCACTCATCTTCACTCAGAAGATTGCTATCACTGTGCTTTCGCCATCATCCTCAGCTAATGCGATGCCCTCTTTATGTGTTTCCTTTGCTCACTCTTACTTAGGCGGTGCACATCATGCAGGTGCTTTCTGTATCTGTATCTCCTCAGCTCCTCATGCTCGCCTGACAATACTGTGATAAATTCAACTTTAGTCCAATTACTGAAGTGAACTTCAAGAAACCAATTGTTGAGCTAGTTAATTACAATTGTTCTTAATGAATCAAATCAATGCCCTCATGTACACAAAGACAAGCATGGGTCGCGACTCTTCGGGTGATGCTATGAGCTTCGACACCGCGACGCTCATATAAAAGGTGAGTTATGTGGGCAAACGGCATCTAGGTTAGTTAAATACTCTCATGATTGAATTTTGGTTACACTAAGTATATATTTTCTATTGCTTTCGTACAATTTCTTTGACCATAATATGTGTTAAAGTGTATACAGTCATGTACGACACGTCTCGTCTTCATGATTTTGATCTTCTGTTCAATGAATTTTTGCAGAATTCAAATCCCAACCTATGGAAATTTATATGCTACCTTCAAGTAACATAGAATCTTAAGAAATATGTACCCAATCACATTGATAAAGAAGCTCAATAGAAAAACTTTTCTAAATGAAAAACGATAATTATTGTAGATGATAATTTGAGTTCTATTTAATACATAACTCAATTTTCTACAATAACTACTTCCATATTTACTCGTTGTTCTAAAAATTCTCCATACTCATGTGAAAAACATATCCAACAACATTAACTGTCATCTTATATACGAGAAATCGTTTTAATACGAAAGAAAATACACTTATCATTGTATGTTTACTGCAAAACTATGTTGAAAATTTGCTTATTAAGTTTTTACCTTAATCAGAAGCTTAGTCCAATAATTCAAATTTGAATGTCATCATTGAACTCATTCTCTGGTATTCACTTATCAAATAATCATAATTCACATACAGGGGCGTAAGTCACCACTGAAGGCAGGGGGCGTAGCCCTTTGAATTGTTTTTTTTGGGGAGAGATTAAAAAATTTTTTGACTGAGATAGTGCGTGTCTAAAAAAATGGATTTCTAGTTGTTTGCTATGTGTTTTTTGTGTAGACAATACAGTTCAGGAACCCATGTAAAAAATAGAAACTTCCTAGAAATAGGTTTTAAGCCTTCAGAATATAGTTAGGCATATGCAATTGATGCCATTTATGCAAGCGAAATTGCTTTGTCGGCAGGTATAAATTCTATTTCAGTGTTGTTGCGTTCCAAAACCTAAATGGTCATTGAATGAAACCATTGATATTTGTTTAAAAGTTTTTGCCGCCGAAGGCGGCCGCGCTTGTGACCATTTAAAAAATAAAACTCTTATGCGTAAAAAGTACTATAAGAAAATGTTTAAATGATATATCAGACTTCTTAGGTCAGTTGTAATTGTAAAGTTCTCACTTTTCGCGAAGCGAAAATTATTTTTTTCACTTTATATCTTGTTTGATATAGACTTATTTAATTCAGCACTTTTTGCCAAAGAGTTAGTAAGCTTCTACTTCATGTCTGTTTTCGCCCTTTTTACTAGTGAAAAAACGAAAACTGTCAAGTATTGTGGGAGGGGGGCGTAACTGCATAAGCAATTTTTCAAACCAGGGGGGGCGTTGCCATAGAGAATTTCAAAAGCAGGAGGGGCGTAACGCCCCACGCGCCCCCCCCCCCCCTACTTACGCTCCTGTTCACATATTCCATTATACAACTTTTCATTTTAGCTCAAGAAAAACTAAAGAAATGTTTATATCATTCCATACATAGAGATGAATAGGACTTCCAATTCACCAGGGAGCACATAGCACCTCCATCCACAGTACCATATGCCCTGTATAAACTAACAGTAATCTAACTAAATCTGCTTGTGCGTCGACTCTATTCCAGTATACACTTTTAATTTCTTCAAACATTTACTATAAGAATCTAAACATTAGCTATTAAACTAAAATTCTTATGGAAATAACAAATTATTATTAATAAAAACTTTTTTTCTATTTCTCTCCCGTAGCTCCATGACTGTCCTATATCAATTATAAATTATAATTAATTAAAAATTTTGTTTTCTGCTATAAGCAAATGCCGAATTCATTTTTTTTCGTTTATTTTCGAAATGATATTAGACATTTGATGCTTCATTTATATTCGAACTCGAATTAGGTAAGTCATGACCAGTCTAGCAGATTAGAAAAAAAAACAGTTAATAGCAGTCTTCGAATCAGGAACTACCAATCTCTACGTAATCCTTTGATTTTTTTTTGTCTGACTCATTTCAACTGTCTCGATCTAATCATGTAACAAGATTGTCAATGACTAGTTTGCATTGATGCATACCTAATTTGCATGTTAACTCTGAAGTTTGACTTACGAGGAAACATCCCCAAGTGTGAGTCTCAGTTCTGAATGGGATATATACCAGTTTGTAGAGCTCGACGAGCTGATTCCCGTAGTGTGTTTCGTTTTTGCCCATAGACACCCAAATGAGAAAAACCAATCGATTTTAATAGTGAATTTTTTGTCTTACAATGAAGGGGCATGTACTGTTAGTTAAATTGATTGACCATGTTCGGGTCAAATGAACACTCTCACTGAGAAACTAACGAATTTAAAATATGAGCTGCTGTTGATGTACCTGAACAGAGTTCCTTCAATTTCAATACGTGAAAAATTTAGGTATAAAAATGAATCAGGAAAGATTTTCTCCACTATTATAAGGACAGAACATAGTATTGCTCTGGCCAATTAGGGGGTTTGTATGGGTCCTCTTTCATATGGCCCGAATAACATCATGTTTTATCTTTATAATAGTAGAGTGAATATTTTTGGTGATTGATGGAAAACGCTGTTTTCTATGAGTACAGAAAAAATTCACTCTACTATTATAAAAACGGAACATCTTGTTATTCGAGTTAATCGGGAGTTATTAAGGATGCTCTTTCACATGGCCTGAATAATGCTGTGTTGCATTGTTATAATAGTAGAGTGAATTTTTTTTGTAACTCATAGAAAACAGCGTTTTCCATCAATCACCAAAAATATTCACTCTACTATTATAAGGATAAAACATGATGTTATTCGAGCCATATGAAAGAGAACCCATACAAACCCCCTAATTGGCCAGAGCAATACTATGTTCTGTCCTTATAATAGTGGAGAAAATCTTTCCTGATTCATTTTTATATCTAAATTTTTCACGTATTGAAATTGAAGGAACTCTTTTCAGGTACATCAACAGCAGCTCATATTTTAAATTCGTTAGTTTCTCAGTGAGAGTGTTCATTTGACCCGAACATGGTCAATCAATTTAACTAACAGTACATGCCCTTCATTGTAAGACAAGAAATTCACTATTAAAATCGATTGGTTTTTCTCATTTGGGTGTCTATGGGCAAAAACGAAACACACTACGAGAATCAGCTCGTCGAGCTCTACAAACTGGTATATATCCCATTCAGAACTGAGACTCACACTTGGGGATGTTCCCTCGTTAGTTAACTTCTATTCTACAAATCATTTCCATCAAGTATTTGTTTTCTGTTAATTTTCGAGGTTGACTTCATTTCTTTTAGTTTTATATTAGTTCATACCTGATATAGCTGTAACTGCTTTTGTTTTTAAATCAAGATTATTTGATTCCTCAAAAATTTTTAATAATTTTTCTTTTAAACCAGATTGAACAATAATTCTTTGACAATGATCATTATCTTCATCTAATAATGTTGAATGAATATCAAGACCACCAAGAGTAAAAAAACCTTCTGTTGAATGAAATTCTTCAGCACAATGACAAAATTCAGCAAGAAATTCTTTTTTTTGTTCTTCATTTATTTGATTATCTTTTATTTTATTAATACATAATTCCATTCGTTCAATTGCACTATTTGGTACAGTCTCTGAAACTTCTGTTGAATTGACTTGTAATGTATTTGAAGTTTCAGTTGAAGTGACTGATAAATTTTTTAAATGTTCAATAGACCATTTTTCATTCTAAAAAGAGTAAATATAAATTATTTCATCTAAATCTTTTTATTATAAAAGTATTTACTTCTTCATCCATATGTTGAACAAATCTCAAACAAAAAGTTCTTGAATATTCTAAAAATTCAAATAAGAAAAAGAAAAATATATATATATATTTATTTATATATATGAGATAGCAAGTTTTCTTAGTCAATCTCGTTTCATACTCATATAACCACGTTAACAAAGGCCCCAAACACACTACGCGAATTAAGACTGACTTAACCAATCAAATTGTGAATCAAGTTAAGACAGAATTAAGTCATCTTTTCTTTTTAACATGACTTAACGTTAAGGCACCAATGGAGTGCGGATGTCGTTTCACCAATAAAAAAAACATATGGCGCCGTCTTTTTTCACACATTTATCATCGACATATACATAAGTAATGACTCCCACCATCGGCGGGCCAGGATCATTTTTTTTGGTATGGCAAAATCATTAAAAAGTGTAAGGAACTTATAAAAAAATAGAACCTTACATTTTGTTCATGTTTTTTGATTCTCATGCTAAGATTCTACGGTAGGCATTCTGTTCATATTATATTTATTATTCTCACTGTTGAAAAAATGACAAAAACAACAAAGATGTTATCACAAACTTTTCATAGAAAAACTTCATCAATACAATTAAAATAATGGGTGACCGACAATTGTTTGGACAAAATGTTTGTTTATTTTTGATCTGTCTCAAAGTATTTCCGGCGAGTCAAAGTCTATGTATTACAATCAGAATTCTGTGGTCTTTCAGAACATGGTCTTAGAGATTTTGTGTTGACTTCTGTTTGAGATCGGTAAAATAATCTTTGAAAAGCCCAAAACCTTAGTTTAGACGGATAGTTTGTCCGCATATTTTTGTGTTTTTGCTACTGTCATCCGAAACTAAAAGGTGGAACCTTTATTATTATACCAGCTTGTATAGTAAAACCTATCCTACAAAATGTGCTGTTTGAGTACTTTTCATCTTTGAACAAGGCTTCTGCTTATTCGTTTCGCCTAAATCGTCATTTTTGAAAAATCGTTTTTGTTCATCAAAAGCTCTTTTTGTGTACAGTAGCTCTTGAAAAAATGCGTACAGCTCACCTTGGGTAAAGGCTACAGGTTAGTTCAATATCACATTTTGTAAAGAATTGTTTGCTCTACAAAACTAACGAATCCGAAAATTTTTAGCATCTTCCCAAAGGGATTGGTATGGATTAGCGAAACCTGTTTGTTCACAGTCCAAACTAATCGTTTAAGCCTTTCAAAGCTCTTGAACAAAAATAGATACAAAAGTTTTAGACCCATATTGAGAAAGAGCACAAAATTCTGGTCCTAATCCCTAGGTTTGACTCATCTGAAAATGCTCTCAAGCAAGCCAAAACAAGTCAAACTTTTGATTAGAAACTTCCATGCAAACGTTTCGTCCAAACTAGTTTTGAGTCTTTCAAAGATTATTTGACTATTCTCGAACGGAAACCGACATAAAATGTCTAAGTCCATATTCGGAAAGAGCACAAAGCTCTGATTCTAGCTTATAGACTTTGACTGATCGGAAATACTTTCAGGCGGGTCAAAAATGAAAAAACATATTGCTCAAATAATTTTCGATCATCTGCTGTATCAACTCTAGAAAAAAATAAGTAAATCAAGCATATCTGAGGATGCCTTTATGGAAAAGTAGGAGTCACCTCTGGTCTTATTTTTCTTTTTGTTGGTCTCTGATTAAAAATTGAATCGAAAACAATTGTCGTTTAGGAAAGCCCATAAAGAATAAAAAGCTTTGGTATGGCAAGTGCCACACCGTGCCACCATGGTGGCCCGCCGATGGCTCCCATGATTTTAATCGACGTCAAACAAAAATATCGTCTGTTTTACAAAATTGCAGTCATATTTGTACATAAAATAGAATTTAGAAACAATGAAAATATAATGTAGAATGTGTCAAGAACAAACGGTATGCATGATAGAGCCATCTCTCATTGCATAACAATTTTTTATTATGCACTACACTTACATAAAAGAGACTTGCTCGCTGTTCTGATTGGTGATTTAACTGCTTGGTGTGAACGCGTTTTGACTTAAAACAAAATTAACTTAAGTCACTTCTGTAGTGTGTTTGGGCCCAAAAGAAAAAAGAAAGAAAGAGTAAGTACTGATGCAATAACCAATTCAAAAGTTAGGCCTTCTCTTATCGAAAGATGTCGCGCATATACCATGTAAATAAAAATTTCCTTTGACGAAAAGAGTCTATTAATAATAAAAGCTATAAACAAATTCATACATAATATAGAATGAG